TTTTTTTTTTTTGGTGTCTTTCCATTCATATAATACCTAATACTGTACATTTCGTTTTTAATGTCATAGAAAAACTTGGTTCTCCCATGAAATTCTTTAAATTCTTGATAAATTTTTCAAAGTAGACATTATTATGAATGAAAAACAGCCAACAAACGGGCACCTGTTGTTTTTAACACTGAAGAGTTACAGAAGCTTTTTAAAAGTTATCATAATCTTTTTTGTCTTTTTTCCCCTCAGCTTCAAATCCATCAACTCCATCGCTATCCCTTCTTCGTTTCCTGTTGTTGTGGATGTTAAAACGTTGGCTCATTTGGGGTAATGGATCCATGCCTAGAACTTTGTGTATCTGGCGGAATGCAAGGAGTCTCAAGGCAAACTGTGCACTGGATGTGATATCTTCATGCTGCTGGTCAGTCATTGTTGCCAAGGTATCAAAGGGATCCTTCTCACAAGGATCCAGAAGTCCAGGACTACCTTTAAGAATAATCCCTGAAGAAATGCACTCGAAAACTCTTCTCAGTGCATCTCCAGGGCTCTGAGGACTGGAAGCACTACTGATTGCTTTCTCTACTAGTAACTCCATAGCCTCCTTCCCTCATGTTCTCTTCTCGAATAATTGGAGACGTCAAGGTGATAGTGACTTGCATTTTGGGTTCCACACATGAGTTCAAAATTATTGCCGCTTCAGATACAGCACATTTTATGTCATACTTCTCAGGGCTTATAACAGCAAGCTGTTTGGGTAGGTTTTCTGCAATACGGCTTAATAATGTCTTTGAAGGTTTCTCTGAACACAGCAAAACAAGGTTGACATTTCTATCTCCTCGGAGAAGTAATCCTTTTGCCAATACTCCCACTCGTAAAACTCCTTTCAAAGCTCTGTCTTTACCTCCCTCTTTCTTATCATCTCCGTCTTTGTTCTTGCTCTTCTCATGTTCAGACAAACTGTCTGAAACAAGTTTTAAAGCACGTTCAGTGATAGAAACAATTTTCTGAACTGCCTGTAACTCCTCTTCAGTTGGATAAATGGTTGCATGTTTTGTCATTACATAACGGTCATCAGATGAGTCGGGGCGACGCAAGGGTGCAGGCCCCTGTGGCTGAGGAGGCATGCCTGGTCGGACTCCCAGAAGGCCTAACGGGCCTGGAGGACCATGAGGATAGCCTCCATCGGGCATTCGGCGGCGATCATCCCAATGATGCTGTTCTTCCTCCATTCTTCTCCAGTACATGTCCTCTTCATAACGTCTCATTTCCATTCTCCAACGTTCTTCTTCTTCTCGTCTTCGCCAGTACTCCTCCTTCTGCATTTGCTTCCTCATTTTCTCTTCTTGAATCTTTCTTGCTCGAATACTAGGCTTTACTTCCACTTGCAAATCTGGATTTACTTTTTTCTCCTCCACATAATCATGGCCCACTGGCTGCACATCACTCTGCAAAGCAGCAAGAGACGCAGGTGTGACTGGCTCTGACACTGTGTCTGGCTTTACTTCAGGAATCTGCACAGCAGAAGTGACAGGAGTACTTTTAACACATTCAGTTCCTTTTAAGTCTTCTGTTTTATTTCCTGTTGACTGCAGCTTATTACCACCAACAAAGTTTATTTTGGGGGTAGATGTTTTCTTGGCAGCCATATTTGTAGGCACTGCTGATACTTTAGTGTTAGATGTGCTATTAAGAGACGAGTTTCCTGTAGTCGTAAGACCCTTCACTGAAGAAGTTGCAATTGATGAAGTATTCACAGTACAATTGCTTGCTGCAATGCTTGAAGGAGAGGCAGTCGGTTTTGAAGCAGATACAGCTGTTGAAGAAGTAGCTTGGCTAACAACGTTTGGTTCTGTTGAAGGAATGGGTTTACCAAGTTTTGTATGTAATTTAACCACTTTCTGATGCTTAGCACCACGAATGTGGGCAACATACGCATCTGCTCCTGTACAAGACACATCGCAGAGCTCACATCGTAGCTGATTTTGAGTTCCACGAGTAGAGTTGCGGTATTTTGTGATGCTTTCAATGCAGCTTCTTTTTTTTTATGTTTCTGTCCTTCTAAATGTTCTTTATAAGTCTGTGGTCCAGCACAGCTGATCTTACAAACATCACAATAGTGAATCTGGGGTGGTTTGGGAGGCTGTTTTGGTTTCAGTTGTTTATTTTGGAATGGTGCTTTTTTAGTAAAGGTGGTCCCTGTCCAGGCAGCTGTTGCAGCAGCAGCAGCTGCTGCTGCTGCTGCCTGCTTCTGTTGCTGCTGCTGCTGTTGATAGTAGGAAGATGCAGCTGAATACACTGCTGCTTCATAACCTGAATAAGACGTACCAGAATAAGTAACTGCTGTGGTACTATAAGTAGCACTCTGAGTATAGGATGGCACCACAGTAGCCGCAGCTGCTACTGGCTGTACGGTGGAGGATACAGGATAAATGGAGAAAGTAGTGGTAGCTGGACTTGGTGTGGCTGGTTTTATGGCTGTCACTTGTCGAGTTTGCTGGGCTTGAGTATACTGAGTTGCACCTTGGCTATAACCTGCTTTGGGGGCTGTCTGATAGTAGGTTTCAGCAACAGAAGGCTGAGGTTGGGCAGCAGCAGCTACAGCAGCAGCAGTTGCTGTTGGCTGTTGGTAGTACTGCTTACTGTCATAAGCTACGGCAGGAGCTGTGGATCTTACGTATGAGTATGAGTCCTGGTAGTTTTGTGTGGTAGCTGGAGGTGGTGGCGGTGGTGCTTCTTGTTGCCTCTGGGTATAACCATAGTCAGTTGCTGTGTGTGCAGTGGGGTAGCCTCCATAAGCAGCAGCTGTCGCAGCTGCTGCAACAGCTACTGGAGCAGGCCTGGCAACTGCAACTGTGGCGGCTGCTGGTGCATAGGCAGCAGTAACTGTGTGAGCAGCTACTGGAGCCTGATGGACAGTGTAGCTAGCAACTGTAGTTGGATGAGAATAGGCTACACCCGAAGCTGGTTGCTGGCTATACTGGGCCGCAGCCGCCGCCGCCGCCGCCCCGCTGTGGGTGAATCCAAAGTAGTTGCCGGTCGCCATTTTGGCATCTTCCCCCAGCCGGCTGGGCACATAGGTGAAAGAAACTACAGGGCATATGGGAATCATGGGCTCGGGCTGCTGCTGCTGAACTCTGAACTCTCACCCGCTGCCTCCCTCCTCTGCCCCGCTCCTCCTCAGCCGTGGCTATTTCTTAATAATCCAGGCTCTTGTATTGAGTTGTAGAACATTGGGAAGAAGTCCTTATTGGTGTAACTCAGAGGGTCTTTTAGTAGGTCTCATTGCCTTTTTACAGTTCATGTTTCTGACAGAGTCAAGTATTGCCTGCCTAACCGCACTCCCACCTTTCTGTGAGCATCTAAAATCTCACTCTTGAGTGACACCAAAACATACTGATTGGAAGCTCCTTGCCAATGGTGCTCTCCAGCTCCCTTCTTCCTTCCTATATGAGAACATCTGATGGGGAGCTCAGATGACTTCCTTGGACCCACCCGCAGGCACTGTGAGATCAGAGCGATGGGTCTGTATTCATTCTGCCTTCCACGGAAGCTATGACCTAGTCTTGGTGTTTCGGCCTCTGGGGGCCTCCAACTCTTCCTGCAAATGTGAATCCCCACGGGGCA